TTCTCCACATCCTCGCCAGCACCTAATGTCCTCTGATTTGCTCATTTTAGCCACATTGACCATCGTGAGGTGGTATCTCAGTGTGGTTTTGATTTGTATTTCCCTGATGAGGAGGGATGCTGAGCATCGTTTCATGTGTCTGTTGGCCATCTGGATGTCCTCTTTGGAGAAGTGTCTGTTCATATCTTCTGCCCATTTTTTCACTGGATTCTTTGTTTTTCGGGTATGGAGTTTGGTGAGTTCCTTATAGATTTTGGATATTAACCCTTTTTCTGATATGTAATTTGCAACTATCTTTTCCCATTCCGTTGGTTGCCTATTAGTTTTGTGGGTTGTTTCCTTTGCCGTGCAGAAGCTTTTAATCTTGATGAGGTCCCAACAGTTTATTTTTGCTCTTGATTCTTTTGCTTTTGGGGATGTGTCAAGTAAGAAATTTCTGCGGTGGAGGTCAAGGAGGTTTCCTGCTTTCTCCTCTAGGGTTTCGATGGTTTCTTGTCTCACATTCAGGTCCTTTATCCATTTTCAGTTTATTTTTGTGTATGGTGTGAGAAAATGATCCAGTTTCATTCTTCTGCATGTTGCTGTCCAGTTCTCCCAACAGCATCTGCCAAAGAGGCTGTCTTTTTCCCATTGGATACTCTTTCTTGCTTTGTCAGAGATTAGTTGGCTGTATGCTTTTGGGTCCAAATCTGAGTTCTCAATCTATTCCATTGGTCTATGGGTCTGTTTTTGTGCCAATACCATACTGTCTTGTTGATTATAGCTTTGTAGTAGAGGCTAAAGTCTGGTTTCGTGATGCCTCCCGTTTTGGTTTTCTTTCTCAATATTACTTTGGCTATTCGGGGTCTTTTGTGGATCCATACAAATTTTAGAGATCAGTTTATCTCTCTTTTTCTCAGTTTCTTCTTTTTCTATAATTGCCTTCTAAATCACTTATTCTCCTTTCTGCCTCTTCAATCCGTGCATTGGACCCCTCCAGTTTATTATGTATCTCATTTATTTCATTTTTTAATTCATTACAACTATTTTTAAGCTCCATAGTGTTTGTAGCCATAGTTTTTCGGTGTCCTCCATGCTTTTTTCAAGCCCAGCGAGTAATTTTATGACTATTGTTCTAAATTCTTGTTCAGTTATGTTGCTTATATCTGTTTTGAACAGTTCTTTAGCTGTCAATTCTTCCTGGAATTTCTTTGGAGGAGAGCTCTTTCTTTCGTCATTTTGGTTAGCTTTCTATCTCTTGTTAGTTTTTTTTTTTTATCTCTTGTTAGTTTTAAAAGCTTGTTATGCACTCAGCACCTGTGAGTGCTGATGTACCAAAGAAGGCTCTTTGACTGTCCAGGGCCTATCAGTTCAGAGTGTTCTTTGAATGGTATCTCTTGGTCTCTCTTGTTGAGACCTTGGCTTTTTTATTTTCCTGCTCGTAGTGGTATTTGGGACTCTTTACCAAGTGTACTTTGGCTTGTTTCTTGAGGTAGCCCTGGAAAAGAAATAGACAGGCAAACACACAGGGGGAAAAATGGCACACAAACGCACAGAAAAATCCAACAAACACGCAAACCAAAAGGGAAGGTGAAAAAGAAAAGAGAAAAGAGGAAGGAGGAAGGTGAATAATAAGTAATAAAAATACATAAAAAGGAAGAAAATAATAGGAAAAACGAAGAAACCCAATAGACAAAGAACAGTTTAAAGCATATAACCAGATTTCCCAGCTACAAATAAATACCCGGGCTTGTGCAATACTGGTTGAAGAGCATAGAGAAAGAGAGAAATGACAGGGCGGGGATGAGGTGAAATTGGAAATGAAAAGAGAAGGCAGAAGGAATAAGAAGCTTTTTTCAAAGAGTAAAAGAGTGGAATATGGTTGGAGAAGAGGTGAAAGAAATGACGATGGTGTTATCCAGAGAAACTATATAGTCTGATTACTCCAGAGAGAAAGAGATGAAAAGGTAGGTAGGTGTAGAATTTACATCTAGAGAATGGATTAAATGTGACTGTTTAAGCAAACCGGTACCAGAATTAATCAGGGCAGTGTATTCATGTTGGTCTTGCCCTGGATCCAGTAAAAAAAAGTAAATAAATTTAAAAAAGATAAAAAATAAATTAAAAAAAATGGAAGAGGGCAGCTCTCTAGGAGGGATGGGCGTGATTTGATCCAGTGCATCCCGCGGGAGTCCTGCCTTGATGGTTGTGTGGACAAGAGTGTCGGCGCTCAAGTCCCTTCTTGAACCAAGTGCTGCAACTCACTTTCTTAGGTGTGTAAACTCTCTGTGCAGGGAGCACAGCCAAGGTGGGCTGTGCTCCATATCCCAGGTCCCAGTCCGTGCGCCCTACTGAAGTTCCCGGTAACACAAACTCGCAAGGGAGCCCCTCAGGGCAGTCCCAAGCCTCTTGCTTCCACCTGGGGATTGAGCCAGAAGCAGCTGCTACTCTCTTCTCCTCCTCCAGGTTGGGTTGGCAAGCGAGGAGCAGTTTCATCCGGGGGTCGCCTGCGATGAGTGCGTCCCGCCTAGAGTCACCTGGAGAGCAGGAAACCGGGTCCCTCTGTGTCCCGTCGCCCGAAACACAAACTCGTGGGCAAATCGCCCAGTTTTAAGCCCTTCTCCTCCTTCTAGCAATCCAGCCGAGCCAGAAGCACAAAGGCGTGGCTGCTGTATGTCCCCTCCAGGTCGATCTGGCGAGCGGGGAGCAGTTTCCCTGGGGGTCTCCTGGGACGAGAGCGTCCCGCCTAGGGTCGGATGGACAGCAGGAAACTGGATCCCTCTGTGTTCTGAGCAGAGGATTTTTCTTCTCCAGAGACAGGGACAGTGTCTTGACCAGTTTCGGCCACTCTCTTTCCTGTCTAGATTCCCCCCAGAGGGGGATCCCTCCATCTGTCTGTCTCGGTCCCGTCCCGATTTTATCTTACCAAGTTTGCACTCACACTAGAAGTTTTTCTCAGCAGACTCTGTCTCTTTTTCCTCCCAAACTTCTGGATTTTGTAAGGGTTCCTATGGCTTTAGGTCTTCTCCTGTGAGATATGGGGACGAGTGAAATGCATGGAGTTCCCTACTTCTCCAACATCTTGCCCTCCCCTCTGGGGTTATCATTTTTATTTAATCTTCCTAAGAACTAGATTATAGTTTTATAGACCTGTTCTACTTTAATGTTTGTTTGTATATCACTTATTTCCGCTAATCTTTTTAATTTCCTTTCTTCTGGTGTCTTTAGGCTTCACTTCCTCCCCCCTTTCAAGCTCCTTTAGGTGTAAGGTGGATGTGTGTTTGAGATTTTTCCTCTTTCTTGATTTAGGCCTGTATTGCTCTATAATTCCCTCTTATAAACACCATTGCTGCATCCCAAACATTTTGGACTGTCATGTTTTCAGTTCATTGGCTTCCATGTATTTGTTGTATTTCTTTCTTAATTTCCTGGTAGATACATTGATTCATTTTTTTAAATAGTTATTTTCAAGTTGGTTTCCATATTACACCCAGTGATCATCCCCACAAGTGCCCTCCTCCATGCCCATCACCTCCTTCCCCTCCCCCCACTCCCATCAGCCCTCAGTTTTTTCTCAGCATTCAAGAGTCTCTCATGGTTTACCTCTCTCCCTCTCCCCCACTATTTCTCCCCTTCTTCTCACCCACGGTCCTCCGTTAAGTTCCTCCTAATCCTCCTATACATGCAAACATGTGGTAACTGTCCTTGTCTGCCTGACTTATTTTCCTCAGCATAACACCCTCAAGGTCCATCCATGTTGCTACACATGGCCAGATTTCGTTGTTTCTCATTGCCATGTAGCATTCCATGGTATAGATAAACCACATCTTCTTATCCATTTGTCCGTTGATGGACACTTAGGCTCTTTCCATGTTTTAGCTATTGTGGAGAGTGCTGCTATGAACATTGGGGTACACATGCTCCTATGCATCAGCACTTCTGTATCCCTTGGGTAAATTCCTAGCAGTGCTATTGTTGGGTCATAGGGAAGTTCTATTGTTAATTTTTTGAGGAATCTCCACACTATTTACCAGAGGGGTGGCACCAGTTTACATTCCTCCATTTTATTATGTATCTCCTTTATGGCATTTTTTAATTCATCATAACTATTTTTAAGCTCTATAGTGTTTGTAGTCATAGTATCTCTGATGTCCTCCATGCTTTTTTCTAGCCCAGCGATTTATTTTATGATTATTTTTCTAAGTTCTTGTTCAGTTATGTTGCTTATATATGTTTTGAGCAGTTCTTTAGCTGTCATTTCTTCCTGGAATTCCTTTGGAGGAGAGTTCTTCCGTTTTATATTTTGGTTAGTTTTCTATCTCTTGTTAATTTCAAAAGCTTGCTGTACACTCTGCCCCTGCGAGTTCTGCTGTATTAGGGCTCTTTGTTCACGGCCTGTCTGTTCAGGAAGTGTTCTTTGAGTGGAGTCTCTTGGTTTCTCTTGTTGAGGGTTTGGTTATTTTGTTTCCCTACTCATAGAGATATTAATTAGGGACTCTCTACCATGTGTAGTTTGGCTTGCTTCTTCAGGCAGCCCATGAAAAGGAAAACAGACAAACACAGAGGGAACGAAGGTACACGAACACACAGAGAAAACCAATAAACACGCACACCCAGGCTCAGGTAATAACAACAACAACAACAACAACAACAACAACAACAAAACAGCTCTCAGGCGGGGATTGGTGTCGTTTGGTGTAGGCAGTTTTCCCTCCACTGTGTTCTCTGGCTGCTCCCTGAGGCCCCGCCTTGTTGGTTGTGGGGAGAAGAATGGTGTCGCCCCAGTCCCTTGTCAACCAAATGTTGCAAGTCACTCCTTTGTGTCCTATCTCCCTGTGGTGAGGATGTAGCCAAGGTGGGCTGAGTTCTATGCCCCATGCCCAGCCTCCTTGCTAGGCCCCAGTCCTCAGGCTTTGTTTATACCGCCCTCAATAGTCCCGCAGGTCACAGGTCATCGCTTCCTTGCTGCAAGGGGTTGAGTGGCGGGTGGGGGAAGTGTGGCAGCCTCAGATCCGCTCTGGTCAAACACCTATACAGCCCAAGTGCGTGCGGGGAAGTAGCAACTTCAGGTCCACAGAGTCTGCGCTGCCAACATGCGCCACGAGTGCCATCCGGCCGCCACCGCCAGGGATGGGGCCGCAGAGCCACCAACCCTTGTCACCAGGGATGGCGCCAGGACTGCTGAAGTGCAGTTTTTTCCTCTCGCTTTCTGGGAACGGGGGGCACCTAGTTCAAAGTCAGCACCCCAGCCAGAACTAAAAACACTCTTTCCAAGCCGAAGTTTTCCCTTCTCCCTCAAACACTAATTTTAATGTAGTTGATTTTTTTCTATATTTGTGGGAGTCTCTACTTTTTCTCTGCTTTGTCATTCTGTTATTTGAGTCAATAAAAATACCAACGTCTTTTTGGAAGAAAAGGAAGAATATCCCAATTCCTATGTAACAACACAACCCAATGGAATTAAGAAACCAATCATGAGAGAGAAGAGCAAACGTGCAGACATCACACTTCCCCCTTTCTAAATATATTGCAGAGGAATATTCGCTACAGCAGTGTGCAGCTGACATAAAGTGAGACATATAGACCAGTGGAGCAGATTATGGATTCCAGAAATAAAAGTGTGCAGATGCAGTGAGCACATCTTCCACAAGTTGTCCCTCAATACATGGAGAAAGAATAGTATCTTTTAAAAAATGGTGTTGATATCTATGTGCAAAATAATGACATTTGGCCATAATCTTACATCATAAGATACATACACACAGAAAACCCTAAAGTGGATTACAGATGAAGCAAAACACCTGACCCTAAAAGCCTTAAAAGAAACCACAAAGGAAAAATGTCATGACATTCATGTGACAGTGATTTCTTTCCTATAAAAGCAAAATCACAGAGAACAAAGGCAAAGGCAGACAAGTGTGAGTACATCCAACTAGAAAGGGTGTAGAGCAAATATTAGCAGAGCAAGAAGAGAGTCTAAGAAATGGTGGAAATGAAACTCAAAAATATTGAAATGGAGTTAATATCCAAAATACCCAAACCTGAAAAACAAAATCAACATACACCATCAAAAATTCACACACTAAAAATTGGACCAAGAATGTCAATATCCATTTCTCTACAAAAGACAGACAAATGTCCATCAAGCACATGACATGATGTTCAACATCACTGACCATCAGAAAAATCCACCCCCAAACCACTGAGCTATCACATCACAGCTTTAGCAAGGCTATGCTAAAACCAAAACAAATACATTGAGAACATAACAAATGTTGGTGAGGATGTGCAGGACAGGAAATTCTGGACTATTCTTGATGGGTGTACAACATAGTGTAGCTGCATGGAAAAGAGCCTGGTGAAAATAAACCATTAAATGGAATTTAAATCTGGTCCCTTATATCTGACTTCATTTCCAGCTGAGTGTGAGGAAGTTCTGGGCATCATGTTGTGGGGAGAAGCAGATACATGACACAGGTGTATCTTGTGAAACACTACTACCATTCCAGAAAAATGGACTCCTGGTTGCCAGTCTTGTGAGACTGGACTCAATGTGAACAACGATACTGGCATCTCCTCCCACTCTTTACTGGGTGTCTCTGGATTCCTAATCTGGAGGGAGAACAAAAGGAATGAAGTGTAGAAAACAACTCTTTTCTCTCACAGGAGCATGGAGATACTGAGAATCCTTGAGAGAGAGTCTTGGAGCTGATGGAGATGCTGTGGGGTTTTGACAACCATAAGGGTCATTGCTCACGGTTTCTCTTCATAGACATCAAAGGAAAACCTTAAAGAAGATAAAATAGACAGCAGTTCCTGAAATAAGTGAAATTTAGAACACTTGATATGAGTCAGTTTTCTCTGTTTGAAAATTACTTTATACATTTTTTAAATGGTGGCCACTGTACTTATAAATGCACAGAGACACGGGTCTGGTTATAGGAGCTGATTTATCCCAGAATTTGGTCACTGTCAAAGTAGGCATTACTATTATAACAGTTCGCTGTAAACATGAGACGACAATTGTGTTTGTAAAGATTTTAGAAAAGAGTTTGTACAGTTTGCTGGTCACGATGAAGTTTGCAGGACATGATGATCAAGATGCTCCACAGGAAACGGATGGTGAAACAGTACAGTTTCTGGATATGAGCTCCGAGGTCCTGGGTGCCCCCTGAATACCTTCTATGAAACGAGGGACATTGAACTGTGGGTGCATTCAGGACCCTGGGAAGGAGATATTGTCCTGGAGTTTGCATGGACATGAATGAAATTATACCACCCTTATGTGAGCAAGGCAGAGAGAGATTCATTGTTCCACAAGGAAAAACCACCTGATGTCTGTGGTAAGACTTCCTTGCTGGATTTTGAGGAAATAACATAGCATGACTAGAAATTCAAGATGTGGAACTGATCGTCAAAAGGACACACAGCTCTGATGACATTTTGTGTCAGATCCAGTTTAACTGATTTCACACTTCTGAAATGACGAAGCCCGTGAAAGTTTCATACTCTCCTATTTCTGCCCCCCACCCCCCCGTGTGTGTGTGTGTGTGTGTGTGTGAACTTCACGCTCTACATCCACACCATGCCCTGGTGGGGGTCCATGTGGTTTCCCATGCCTTCAACTAATATTGGTGCAGTGAACATGCTTCCCACAATGAGCCAAAAAGGAGTCTGTCTTCTCTAAATGAAGATATTCGGCGCCTCTGCAGCTTCGTGTCCACCATGCACTGTATGTGGCTTCTAGCGAGCTTGCACACTGAGCTGGGCGGGCGTGTAATAAACAGTGAGTGCAACAGGGAATCTTGTAATGCTTCATTTCATGTTGCTCAAGATATCTGTAATTAATTCATTTCTAGTGGCAAGGATTAAGCTAGTGCCAACACCTCTGTCTTCTGTGCATGTTCGTATACGTTTCCTATTTCAAGTATCTTATTCAAGACTGAAAGTTAAGCACAAAATCACGTGTCCATAAGGGCTTCTTGGGGGAAACCACAATGGGGAGGAAGCCCCAGACCCTGACAGGAAACCTGCCTGTAACCTCCATCTGTCCCTGCTCCTGGGAATACAAACCAGAGCTGTGCATAGTGTGCACCCCATAGTGGTGCTGATCCCCTTCTCCAGGGAGATTTGTGTCTGGGCTCACACTGATCACTCCTCACTGTGTCTCTCGCACAGAAATACGTGGCCGTGTCTTCGACTCTCAGGTTGTTCATCTGTAGATACAGTGTGTTCTTGGCGTTGTCTCTGGAGATGGAGAATCGGCCCTTCACGGAGTCTGCGTAGCCTGTACTTCCACCACTATTAATATATCCAACCCACTCCAGCCCCTTCCCTGGAGCCTGGCGGACCCAGCCCATGCCGTAGCTACTGAAGGTGAATCCGGAAGCTGCACAGGAGAGTCTCAGGGACCCTCCAGGCTTCACCAGGCCTCCCCCAGACTCCACCAGCTGCACCTCACACTGGACACCTGCAGACACAAGACATCCTGGTCAGGAACCTGTCACACATCTAGTGTTTCTCTCACTCATATCCACTCACACACTCAGTGTCTCTTGTTCACCATGAGTTACCTTTTAAAACAGCAACAAGGAAAACCCAGCCAAGCACAAAGTCCATGGTGAGATGTCTGTGTTCTGTCCTGATCACAGAATGGGAACACCTGGGACTCCCGGGGCTGGGGCTCCTCTCCCAGCTGCAGGGTCAGGGCTGGGCTGGTTTAATCAGCACAGGGCGGGTCTGATTTGCATGTCCTCTGCGTATATAAGCAGCTATGTACCAGCTATAGTCCTTACAAAGAGGGCACTGTCCTGAGCAGGTGTAAATCTCTTTAATTTGGTGTTTGACGGATTTGGTGATTGACAGTTGTTATCATCATTTTCCAGAGATCACAGTTTGTTCCATATTCGACTTTGGTTGTAAAACCAAATTCGGACACTACTCATGAGGGTATAGGTGTCATCATATCCTATAAGAAGATGTGAACGTACACTAAATTATAGAGGCTGGTGAGGTGTCCAAGTGCACGTATGTGGTGAGAGTGAGCCCAGGATCTGGGCCGGTGCTCCTCCCTACAGGACCCACGACCTCCCTCAGTCCACCTGCAGGCCTGAGCGGGCGGGCCCCTGAGGAATGCAGAAGACTTTCTGTAATGGGTACATGACGATTTCGCTTGCTCTGGAGTTTACCGTAAATAGAGACAGAATAGGGTCAGTGCAGGTGTCTTTTTAAGTCTTTAACATGTCACTATCATTGTGTTCCTACTGAGTAGTCTCTGTGTTTATTTGTAAGAGCTTTGATGAATGTACCTGACATAGAGTGAGGTGCACATGCCGAGTGTGTGATATGATAGAACACTGATGTGAGTCAACATGATCAGACTGAACACATAATTCCCGTTAAAATCTCTTATAGTTCCCCTGGAATTCTTCCTTCCTAGTTCCTTCGTTCATCCTGTCCCCACGGAACTATTATTCGTTCTCATGTTTCTTCAGAGTAGTTTTAGTTTTAGAGAATGTGTACATGTGTAATTATATGATATGAACTCTTATTTGCAAGGTTTATTCTGCTCAGCATAAATCCGTGTCAATACAACCATGTTGCTGGTTGTATCAGGAGTCATTGGATTTAAGGGTTGGCGACTTTGCAAGAATTAATGTCACCAAATGTTGCTTTAAGCGGCTTTATTTTATCAGAATTGCTGTCAGTGTCTGGTATTTCAATAAATTTTCTTCTCAGCCTTGAGACGTCGATGTGAAGTTTAGAGAATGTGTGATTTATATGATTTCCACAACAACCAACCTGAAACAGAGGCGGAGGAACAAATATACATCAATGCAGGAGTTTTTCCTGTTCTGATAAGTTGTTTTTATTATTAGATGTTCATAGAAGCTTAATTTAAAAATTGGGAATATAAATAGAACACAATTAAGACTGGAGATTTTTTGTGAAGATGTTCATAAGTTTTGGGGTAGTGAGGTGAAGACAGTTTTTTCTAAAATTATTTAATAGTTTATATTAACTTGGTTTCCATGTGACACCAAGTGCTCATCCTCATTTTCGTCCTCCATGTTCATCACCCCATTTCTCTCCCCCACACCGTCAGTCCTCGGATCGTTAGTCTAGGGGTATGATTCTTGCTTAGGGAGAAGGTTTTAAAGTTTTTTTAAATATAACTTATTTTACTGGATTCTATGTTTTTCAGATTTCTATGTGGAGTTTGGTGAATTCCTTATAAATTTTGGATACTAGCCTTTTATCTGATATGTCATTTGTAACTACCTTTTCCATTCCATCAGTTGTCTGTTAGTCTTATGGATTGTTTCCTTTGCCATGAAGAAGCTTTTTTTAAAAATTATTCTATCATTGTTCTTTTTTTCTTAAATAGTTTATTGTCAAGTTGGTTTACATATAACACCCAGTTCTCATCCAAACAAGTGCCCCCCTCCATGCCCATCACCCCCCTTCCCCTCTCCCCCACTTCTACCAGCCCTCAGTTTCTTCTCAGCATTTAAGAGTCTCTCATGGTTTCCTCTCTCCCTCTCCTCAACTATTTTTCCCATTATTTCCCTAATCGTCCTCCATTAACTTCCTCCTAATCCACGTATATGTGCAAACATATGGTATGTGTCCTTCTCTGCCTGACTTATTTCGCTCAGCATAACACCCTCTAGTTCCATCCATGTTGCTACACGTGGCCAGATTTCATTCTTTCTCATTGCCATGTAGTATTCCATTGTATAAATATACCACATCTTCTTGATCCATTCATCAGTTGATGGACTCTTAATTTCCTTCCATGTTTTGACTATTGTTGAGAGTGCTGTTATGAACATTGGGGTACATGTGCTCCTATGCATCAGCACCCCTGTATCCCTTGGGTAAATTCCTAGCAGTACTACTGCTGGATCATCGGGAACTTCTCTTGTTAATTTTTGGAGCAACCTCCATACTGTTTTCCAGAGGGGATGCACCAGCTTACATTCCCACCAACAGTGTAGGAGGGTGCCCATTCCTCCACATCCTCGCCAGCATCTAGAGTCCTCTGATTTGTTCATTGTAGCCACTTTGACCGCCGTGGAGTGGTATCTCCGTGTGGTTTTGATTTGTATTTCCCTGATGAGGAGGGATGTTGAGCATCCTTACATGTGACTGTTGGTTATCCTGATGTCCTCTTTGGAGAAGTGTCTGTGCATGTCTTCTGTCCATTACTTCACTGGATTATTTTTCTTTATGGGTGTGCAGTTTGATGAGTTCCTTATAGATATTGGATACTAGCCCTTTATCTGATATGTCATTTGCAACTACCTGGCCCAGGGCTCTTTATTGTTGGGAGGTTTTTGATAACTAATTCGATTTCCTTACTAGTTATGGGTCTGTTCAGATCTTCTATCTCAACCTGTGTGAATTTTGGTAGTGAGTGTGTGAGTTTGGGAATTTGTCCATTTCTTCTAAGTTGTCTAGTTTGTTGGCATATAATTTTTCATAGTATTCCCTGATAATTTCTTGTATTTCTGATGGTTTGGTTGCAGAAATTTCATTTTCAATCATGAATTTGTGTATTTGAGTGCTCTCTCTATTCTTTTTGAGAAGCCTGGCTAGAGGTTTGTCAATTTTGTTTATTTTTTCAAAAAACCAAATATGGTTTGGTTGATCATTTCAACTGTTTCTTTGGTTTCTATATTGTTTATTTCTGCCCTGATGTTTACATATACACATTCTCATTTTCTAGGGATGTGGATAGGCTTTTACATTCCCTTTCACTAATTTTGTTGTTGTTACCTGGAATTAGTCATCAGATTATGTATTCTGATGTTTATTTACTGACACCCTAAGTCTCATTCCTGCCTCTGCTCCTTCCCCACTCATGAGACATCTCATAAGAAAGTATGGTTATTTATTAAAAAATAGTTTTTAAAATATAGTTTATTGTCATGTTAGTTTCCATACAACACTCAGTGCTCATCCCCACAAGTGCCCTCCCTTTTAATGGTGCAAGAACACTTACTCTGTTTCTACCACTGATCCACAAAGAAATCCCTGATTTACTGTCCTTATTTGGATTGATGAAAGGATTTCTGTCAAGCCATTTGGCATTGCTGGAGATCAACAGACACGTCAATGAAGGAGGGGAAAAATTGTGGGAGAGAGGGAGGGAGGCAAACTATGAGAGACTCTTGAATGGTGAGAACAAACTCAGGGCTGATGAGGGTGGGGGGAGGGGAAGGCGGTGATGGGCATGGAAGAGGGCACTTGTGGAGATTAGCACTGGGTGTTATACGGAAACCAACTTACAATAAACTATTTAAAAAATAAAAAAAATATCTCCTTGATGAGGAGGGATGCTGAGCACTCTAGATGCTGGCAAGGATGTGGAGAAACAGGCACTCTCCTACACTGTTGGTGGGAATAGAAACTGGTGCAGACCCTCTGGAAAACAATGTGGAGATTCCTCAAAAAATTAACAATAGAACTCCCCTATAACTCAGCAATAGCACTGCTAAGAATTTACCCAAGATATATAGGAGTGCTGATGCATAGGGGCACATGTACCCCAATGTTCATAGCAGCACTCTCACCAATAGCCAAAACATGGAAAGAGCCTAAGTGTCCATCATCTGACGAATGGAACAAGAAGATGTGGTTTATCTATACCATGGAATACTACATGGCAATGAGACAGAATGAAGTCTGGCTTTGTGTAGCAACACGGATGGACCTTGAGGGTGTTATGCTGAGCGAAATAAGTCAGGCAGAGAAGGACAAATATCATATGTTTGCACGTATAGGAGAATTAGGAGGAAGAAGAATTGGGGGAGAAGAAGGGGTAAAATAGTGGGGGAGAGGGAGGGATGCAAACCATGAGAATGCCGAGAACAAACTGAGGGCAGATGGGGTGGGGGGAGGGAAAGGGGGGTGATGGCATGGAGGAGGGCACTTGTGGGGATGAGCACTTGGTGTTATATTGAAACCTATTTGACAGTAAACTTTTAAAAATAGTTAAAATAAAATAAATTAAAAAAAATAAATCTTGTTATCTTTCTTGTTATGTATGTGTCTTATCATCTGATTCTACAATTATACCAAGTTGTGTGGGGTCTCTCTGACTCTGAGAGGTGTCACCTGAGATACGTGGTATGAGATGGTATCCACACAATGATCCCCAGCCACGGGGTCATTCGTCCACTGCTTTGGCTTATAACACCCAGGTTGCCTGATGTCCAGCATACAGTTTATGATGCTGTTCATAGCTCATGTACTGGGCTGTGTGGTGCTGGGTTGTTGAGTACAACGGACACTTTATTTTTTTTATTTTTTATTTTTTACAAATAGTTTATTGTCAAATTGGTTTCCACATAACACCCAGTGCTCATCCCCACAAGAGCCCTCTTCCATGCCCATCCCCCCTCCCCTCCACACCCATCAGTCCTCAGTTTTTGTCAGCATTCAAGAGTTTCTCATGGTTTGCCTCTCTCCCTTTCCCTCACCATTTTCCCCTTTCTTCTCCCCCTTGTTCCTCCGTTAAGTTCCTCCTAATCCTCCTATACGTGCAAACATATGATATTTGTCCTTCTCTGCCTGACTTATTTTGCTCAGCATAACACCCTCAAGGTCCATCCGTGTTGCTACACATGGCTAGATTTCATTGTTTCTCATTGCCATGTAGTATTCCATGGTATAGATAAACCACATCTTCTTGATCCGTTCATCCGTTGATGGACACTTAGGCTCTTTCCATGTTTTAGCTATTGTTGAGAGTGCTGCTATGAACATCGGGGTATACAACGGACACTTTTTACTGATTAGTAGGCTTAAATCAGAATATCTAGAATTAATTGTCATTTAAGAAAATGATTAGGCATGGCTGTGACATTCTGCTTTTTGTGCGTGTGAATGTACTTTTCTCCTATTATAAGTAATGCTACTATTCAAAGATTTATGAGGTAAGAATAAACCATGATTCTGGAGAGACTCCCCTTGGGAAACAGCGTTATGAAGACCTGTTTGAACTCCAAGCAGTTACAGGAAACATGGATTTAACTTCCACTAGCACCTGCTCCTGTGGTGGAAAGAGTATTGTTGGTCTTGAGTACACCCTGCTGACATGAGCAACCCTTGGTGACCTGAGAGGCCCTTGGTGAACTGAGCTCCCCCACAGCACAGCACTTCTTGTGTCCCTGAAGGGAGGATATGTCTGTGCTCACACGATGGTCCCTCACTGTGTTCTTCTCCAAGTAATAGATGGCCATGTCCTCGGCTCTCAGGTTGTTCATCTGCAGATACAGCGTGTTCTTGATGTGGTCTCTGAAAATGGTGAATCGGCCCTTTACAGAGTCTGGGTAGTATGTGCTATTTTATTTTTTTAATATTTTTTAATGTTTTTTTAAATTTATTTCTAGGAGAGAGAGAGAGACAGCGTGAGCAGGGGAGGGTCAGAGAGAGAGGGAGTCACAGACTGAAACAGGCTCCATGCTCTGAGTTGGCAGTCAGCACAGAGCCCGACGCGGGGCTCGAACCCACGAACCGTGAGATCATGACCTAAGCGAAAGTCGGACGCTTAACCGACTAAGCCATCCAGGCATCCCAACTTTCATCAGTAGTAATACATGCGACCACTGCAGCTTCTTCCCTGAAGCCTGGCGGACCCAGTGCATGTCATTGCTACTGAAGGTGAATCCAGAGGTTGCACAGAAAGTCTCAGGGAACCCCCAGGTTTCACCACGTCTCCCCAGACTACACCAGGTGACTGTCACACTGGACGCATTCATACACACGACATCCTGGTGAGGAAACTGTCACACATCCACGGTTTCTTATTCATATCCACTCACATCCTTGGTGTCTCTTGTTCACCATGTATTATGTTTTAAAAGAACAATAAGTAAAATCCAGTCAAGCATAAATCAATCGTGAGATGTCTGTTCTGTCCTGATTACGGTATGGGAACACCTGGGAATCCCAGGGCTGGGGCTCCTCTCCCAGCTGCAGGATTGAAACTGGGCTGGTTTATACAGCAGAGGGAAGGTCCTATTTGCATGTACTCTGACAATATAGCTAATACTCGAAATATACTCCTTAGATGGACAGTGAACCAGAGCAAGTGTGAGGAATCTCGAATAGTTTGGTACCATGAAATCTTTCAGAAAATGGTGATGAATCTTGTGATTTTGCTGTGGTGAATATTAAATCCCATTACATTCCTTATTTTCTCATATTCACCCAAACATGTGAGGTAGGACTCAATTTACCGCCATTGTAGAGGTGAACAGATACACACTGCAGCAGAGAAGGAGTGTGTGAGTGTCCCACATATCAGGTGAGAACTACCCCAATTCTGGACCTGTGCTCCCCACCATGGGACCCACTTCTCTCTGGAACCAATAGCAGGACAGGTTGGGCATGCCCAGTGAGGTTTGTAGGTTCCTGACCTTCTAGAAATCCCAGTGGAGTGACTGTAGAGACGAGATCTTTTCTGCCACAGGGAATTGGAGATACTGAGAAACCTTGAGACAGATTCGCAGAGCTGATGGAGATGCTAGGGATTTCCAACAACCACAAGGGACCATGTACGCATGATGTGTCAATAGACATGAAAGGATCGCTCAATAGAGCTAAAAATCCTTGATAGAATGATGTGGGACATCAGTCAGTGGAGGTTGGAGGCGACCCTACTTACTAGACTCTGGGCTGTAAGACCAGAACCTATTGCCTCCGTCAAATATGACCTGATGTGGCTAAAGCGACAAGTCACAGGAGGTCCCTCACCTGATGGATCAGGAAAAGTTCTTGCCATTTCTGTGGAGCCCTCACACCTTGCAGGCCAGGAATAATCCCAGTTGATTGTGGCCAATAATTCTTTTAATATATTGTT